AACACTGCACAAAATTAAGTTCACAAAAATAGCCATATATGCTTTTTAGCCAGTAGTGTGATTTTCAGCAAGTGGGATATTTTTCATTAGCCTATCACTGAAAATGTTTTAGTGTTAACCGAATGAGAGGAGTAACATCCAGAAAGAAAAAAAAAAAAACAAAAAAAAACTGGAAACATTGCTAACTGACGGGGGAAGTCCACTTGAAACTGGAAACATTGGCTACTTGATTATTGTTAGCAGTAAGCCTACTTCATCCCCAGCTCCCAGCCTTGGAAATTCTGATACCTTTATTGCTTGGGAGACCAGAGCCAATAGTACAAAATGATAATGTTCGCAAAGGGAATATTGGAGTTGTTCAGTTAGAGAAATCAACTCATTTTTGAGATTTTTTCTTCCCATAATGTAGTCACTATCATACTTAACATTTGTGATTGGCAAATGGTCCAAAACTTAAGCCTCACAGTTTCATATTCCTAATCACTGACCACGGTGATCTTCACAAAAATTAGGTAGTTGCCCTTGAATAGAGATCTTAGTTTGAGTCTTTTGTAATTATGACTTGGCGTTTGGTTCTTGAGATTTTATTTAGTTTTCTAAGATAGTGTAGGATAGACACTAATTATAGTGTGAGTGCTAAATTCAAAGGAGTATGCTTACATGACTGGGCGCCTTTTTGACTATTTACAAACCCAGCAGGCTTAATTTTGCTCCCATTGAGAAAAGAGTAAGTCTTGACTCATTTGGCTTTATACTGACTGTAAAGAAATGGAATGATGGGGCTGGTGAGATGGCTCAGTGGTCTAAAGCACCTACTTAGAACAATCTTAGCAAAAAAGCACAGGGACCACGGTTCAATCCCCCAGCGCCACATGCCAGCCAGCCCTGCCCCTGGTGGGCTGAGCTGGCCACACACACACACACACACACACACACACACACAAATAAATAAAAAAAATTTAAAGAAATGGAATGATAAAATGTCTTCCTTGCTTGACATAGAACTCTTAGACATTATAGATTACTTTTTTGGAATGTATTTGTATTGAAATTTAATAAAACTTTAACGCAGAAAATAAATAAATAAAAAAATGCTATTTAGTTTTGTTCTTCCATAGCTAATATTTTTTTATGTATATGCTTTAATTATTTGTTCTTTATAATAAGTTTTGGACAATTTCATTTTTGTGTGTCTTGGTATGATTTTATTTAAATTTCTTGTGTAAAAGGTTCATTTTTCTTGGAAATGTGGTATTCTAAGATGAACTAAATTCAGAAATTTTAAATCTTTACATATTTATTGCCTACAATTTTCTACTTTGAGAATTCTAATTAAATGAATACGTTTCTTGGTTTTGACAGTGAACTATTATGACTAATCTGTAAATTCTTTCTTCATTTTTATTTTGGACAATTTTTATTGTTATATTCATTTATGTTTGTAAATAATTTATTTTCAATTTGCAATCTATTAAATAAATTAAATTTAAAAAAAAAAGGATTGTAAGTCTCAACCCAGCCTGT